TGGCCCTTTGGTGGTTTTTTTTTCCCTGGCCTTTTTTGGTGGGTTTTTTTTTTTTTTTTTTTTTTTTTTTTTTTGGTCATTCTCTTTTCATTTTATGATGTTGGACTGAAAAATGTTTTGTGAAATGTCAAAGACTTGGTTACGCTAACTCTGCCTTGTGTTGGCGTAACCAACTCCACAACATTATTCCAAACCTGTCTGTTCATTTTGCTGTTTGTTCACTGGTGTGTTCTAATAAACCTTTTTCACTAACAGCTGTGTTTATACTCTGATTAGCACGGGGGGCTCCTTTTACTAGCTAGTTGTCATGATCGTGGTTCTGTGTATTTATTTTTAGAGTTTTTTTTGTGTTCAGTTCCTTCCTGAGTCTCTGTCTCTGCGTCTTCCCCGTTGATTGTTCCCAGGTGTTTCTCATTCCCTTGATTACCCCGTGTGTATTTAAGTCCACCTCTTGTCGGGTCCTTAGTTTGTCTAATGTCTATTGCTGTCTACACTCTCCAGTGGAACTGCCAAGTCCTGGTTTGTGTTTGCTCGCATGTTAGTCCTGATTAGTCAGTTGCTACTGGCATTTTAGCTGTGCGCTTGTCTCCTGCCGTGCTGCCGGTCTTGGACTGTTTGAGCATCTTTATCATTAAGTTCATCATATTCATCATTTTGCCTGGGTCTCGGCGTCATCTCCTCACCATCAACCAACACACTTCATGACACTAGTTGACTTTTGAAAGCAATTGAATTGGTTTAAGGGATATTTAGTTAAAGGGAGCTCAAAATTGGCATGACACTTTTTTTTATTATTTGCAATAAAACTTTGAAAATAAGTTTTGTTACCCCTCCAATGTTTCAGTTTCCTTACACTTTACAAAAAACTAATGTTGAAATACAGGGAAGTTTGGGGTTGTAATGCGACAAAATGTGGAGAACTTTTTTTTTTATTAACATATGAATTCAAATAAACGCCAATTTACCTAGACAGCAAGATTTGATTGCAGTAAATATACAAGTCACAATATAATGCAGATATTTTAAAATGATATAGTCAAAAGACTCTGTGTCATACCTGCGGCTCATCCCACAGGGCCAAGATTTTCCCAACATCATGGATCAGCCCCACCAGCTGGAACCAGTCTGAGGTGATACGGGGCAATCTGTAAGCTTCGTACTAGTCTACAAGGTGTAATTGTTTTCCGTCAGCTTTAGAAGGTACCTTTGTCTGGATGCTCTTTGCGGATGCCCTCAGCAGTCTGGAAGGCGTGGAAGGAGTTGGGAAAGTCGACGTCTGGATCAGACTCGTCCACCAGCTGGTCCAGACACATGATGGCCTCCATCATTCCCATCCGAGAGTGGTTGCAGTGGGTCCATTGACCGTGCTGCAGAGGGTGCAGTATGACTACCGGTAAGGCTTTTATTTTTATATCTATATCTAGCTTTGTAACTTGCAGGGAAGTTTGAAATAGAAAGCAACTGAATAATTAATTGTTGCTGTTTGCCCCCTGTTTGTTTCACCTTTTGCTGGACGAAGTCCACCGTCTGGTTGGTGTGCATCACACTGTATGTTTTAAAGACTCTGCTGAAGAGACTCCCATCCTGAAAAGAAAGGAAACAGTTCCTCAGTACGGTTCACAACACCGATGCACCATCATCCATTGCAATATCAGGGATTGAAGAGTCTGGATTAAAGAGAAGTTCCTCTTTGACACATTAGGGAATTTTATTAAGTAATGTTGTATTATAAACTAAAACTCCTCATCAATAGAAAATCTCGTTTTGTCAGAAATCAGAAAAGTTTTATGAAAAAGGTAACTTCTTAGATTGTTTTTAAATACTTGGGTAAATTTCCTGAACGAATGGACATTTTTATGTTTGTACTTCACAACAAGATAATATTCAACAGGAGGTTTAAGAAAATTAAACAATTCCACAATGATGTATAAACCTTACCAGTAGCTGACAGTTTCAAACCATATTTATATGGTTCAATGCGTTTCTCCTATTTTTTAACTTATTGCTAAATCATTCTTTAATTTAGGTCCCATAATTTAAACACATACGAATTTCACATCGGTTCTCTCTGGTCATCTATAAAAGGCAAACTTTTAATCTGCACTGTTTGTGTCTGTTTCATTGAACGTCTGTTGCAGATTTTCAGTTTAAATAAATTTGAATGCTTTGGCACCAACAAAAAGATTATTTGTTGCTCAATTGTAGAACGGGACATACTGCAAACTTTGTTTTTGAAATATAAAAAGCTTCCTCGGCACTTTCTTATTTTTGTAATACTTTCCATATCTTAGATTAAATTTAAAGATAATCTTCAAAAGGGTCTTTGATTCCATAATATATTTTCTCACTTCTTCATGAAAAAAAAAAAGAAATGCAAGTTGGATTTTTGGTTTTGAACAAAAATTTGTATTACAGCATTCTCAACTGGATCTACTTCAACATTATTCTGTGTTTCAAAGAACCTAATGTATTTACTTTCTATGCACAGCCAATGATCCAAATATATTACTACATAGCAAGAAATGTAATATTTTTTAATGAATGTGGTATTAAACATTTGTCCATGCGACCTTACAATTATAAACCAGTGGATGGATACATAGTCGTTATTAGCTAAAGAAAAGCTCAGACTCACCACAAAGTTTCTGTATTCTTCTTTCTCCTTGGAGTTTTCTAAGTTTGGCCGATATGCCAGAGACGGATCAGGTCCCTACATGTAAAATAACAAATAGATCATTTTTTTTAGCCCATAACTATTCCAGATGGTGTTTGTAGATACATAAAAAAATAATACTTACAATGTTGACCACCCTCATGACTGATGGATGAGCAGTAATCACAGCGGATGTGTTCAGGTGTGCTGGTCCTCTGGAGACTTGCCTTCTCGCTCATATATATCCTCCTGGTTCCGACCGCAAAGTGTCTAACCTATCAATTTCTTTATAAAACCTGCATGAAGTGTACACCCATGTCCAGTCACAATTTAACCAACCCTTACCTCACGGGGTACCTTGTGTGTTGAACGTTGGCCTTGTTTGTGTGTGTTCAACACAGCGTCCGTAACAAGAAGTTTTTTTTTTTTTTTTTTAGAGGAATCAGCAGAGTACATGTTTGGACAGATGTGGAATGAATCAGCAATTTTTGGATGTGCATATTAGTTGTATTGATATACTTGTTTTGATTCTTCTTTTGAATCAGTTGAGTAGAGTCTGCTTATCAGAATCTGCTCAGTCTGAAGTCAAATAATAAAAAAAAAAAAAATTGACTGAGGTGACACAAGGACCTCTTTTTTTTCTAAAGGTGTTTAATTTCTGGGTATCGACCCAGTTACGCACAGAGAGAGCCCTGACGACATTTCTCTGTATTGGAGGTCCTCGTTACCTTGGTCAGCTGTTTTAAACGCGATATGCACAGAGATAACGTGGACTGAATAGTTCAAACAGGAGGTACTGTGTTTAAACACTGTGTTGTCTGCTCCTTACAGTCAAGGACCGCAAACATCCTTTTTGGCTCCAGTCCAGCTCCAGTTTCCAGCAGCTCAGACGCTACAACAAAAAAATGCTTAAGCAGGTGTGAGGAACGTTGTCATGGTAAAATTGATGTAATCTACATGGAAACACCTGCTGGTGCTCTTCTCCTTTGTTCGGGGGTCAGATCAGATGTGCGTACAGCAAATATTTGAAGTTTCCATGAATTTTGTGTTTTACCTGCTCCAGATAAAAATGTTCTGTTTATGGGGGTCATAGTGAGCTGGAGCCTTTCATTGCAGACACAGAGAGGGTGCATTGAGGACAGGTCACCACTCCAACACAGGGCCAACACACACACACACACACACACACGCACAAATTCACACAGGCACTCTCACCCATTCATACTCTAGACCCAGAGAGAAGAACTTATATATGCAGACAGATAGACATGCAAAGTCTCTGTGAGGTGACAGAATTCTTTACTTTATTGTCTTGCAAATAAAAAATAATTTATTCAAAATTTTCCATTTTTGCTCTGATTGTGTGTTAATATTTGTTGCTATCCTGAAGGGTCTTTTGTAACCTCTAACAGGTTTTCTTCTAGGACTGCTCTGTTGGACATCAACAGTGACCAACTTTTCTGTTGGTCAGAGACGATATTAATGCTGAAAGCTGACACTAGTTAGTCTCTGAAAAGCATCCCCACAGCATCATGCTTCCATCTCTGTGTTTCCTGGGCGGTGTTGTCTCCCGGATGACGTGCAGCAAACGGCATAGGGGAATTATTTATAAATTCTTTAAATAATAAAACACAATACTTCCATACAGACCAGAAGCACGTGTATAATAATTCCCCTGTGCAGCTCCTCCAAAGTTACCAGATCACTCTTGACTGCTTTGCTGATTGACCTCAAGTGGGTCATCACTTTAGGTGAACAGCAATAGGTAGCTCTGGAGTTCTGCCACACTCTTTCTATTTTAGAATGACCGATTGAACAGCTCTGCAAAACCTAACACCGAGCAAAAGTGGCTCTCACAAAAAGGACACTTGAGGAATTAGTTCAGTAGTTTATTGACATAGAAATAAAGACATGCTTTTAAAATTCAAGTCATGCTTACAAAGTGCTTTCATGTTGTTCTATTACAGTTTAGAGCAAAACTGAGTCAGAACTAAAGTGACTGAACTCCTGTACAGAAACAGAAGGGACAAAAAGGGACCTCGATGGCAGTAATCCCATTTAGGCTTATTTTAAAAGCCTGCAAATAACTACTGCAAAAAAGGACTAAATCCCACTCTGTTACAGTTTCCAGTGGATGTGCTTTGATACATCCACTGTCCTCTGTTAGGTCTGAAAGTTAAGACAACCTTCAGTCTCTACTAAGAATCTGCAGACAGATCCTAGATTAGCAGCATGCATTTTAGCTGATTGAGTTGTGAGCGTTGGGAGTGAGGGGTCAGTGTGGCCAGAGGTTGGCCTCGCTGCTTAAGCTGCTTGTTTGCACATGGAGATTAAAGTGCTTTTTGGAGATTAGCACTGAGCTCACTCAAGTTCAGACAGCAGGAACGATATTGATGCTGAAAGCTGACGTTAGGCAGACAGCTAAGTTTGAGAAAATAATCTGCTGACAAAATGTTTGTTAAAAAAACCCCACACGATTGTAGTATTTATATTTGTATATACTTTATGTACTTGATGTATTTATATTTACTCTAAAAGGACATTAAGGCAAGTTTTGTCATCTAATTGATTATAATGTATGCTACGAGTGTTTTCTGTTCCAAATATAGTCAATGATTGTGAACATCTGATAAGTTCTGAGAAATCTGTAGTTATCACAGTTCAATATCATTGGACTACCTCAAGCTTCAAAACAGACAAACTAAATCTATGAATTCATAAAATAGTGAATGATTATTGCTGTTTTATATTTCAGGCGTCACTAAAATTGGAACCATACTTTGTCAATTGAACGTTATGCTGAATTAAAAGATAAGACTCTTAACTCATTGTACAAATGTGCACAAAAGATTTTGTTCGGAAAAAAGTTGACATCTGCAGATCTTTGATTTTGGAGAATATCCTTTCCGTCATTTACATTTTTTTGAGGTAGGATTTCTGCTCTGAAAGCAGAGGTGTTCAATTTGAATAAAATCTCTGTATTATTAGTTTACATTAGTTTATTAAAACTGTTCTTGTTTACTGTGTTTAGACCAAACACCCAAACTTAAGTTAGAGTTTTGTCATTGGACCTCTCTTGCAGGGTGGGGATTTTGGATTTCTGCAAATGCTTAATCCCAAATGACTGATCGGTACCACAAAAAAATCCTGATTGGGACATCTGCATGGACGAGTCTCGACTTGCCATCGCATGCCATGGCTGATTTAGAAACCATAAATCTGTCTCAACTTGTCATGAAAAGCACAATTTATTATAAATCGGAACAATAAACTGTGAGTGCCCCCGGTCTTTGAATCAAGACTGGACACTTCTGGCTGGATCAGGCATTGCCTCTCCAATTTCTCCTTTCTTTAGCTGCTAAATCCTAAAATTACAGGAAGCTGGGGTTTCCTATCTCATCAATGATTTCCTGTCACTTCCCCTCATCATTGAGAAAGAAAAATCACAAAGCATATGTGGCACGCCACCAGTTGGCTCTTTTTCTCTCAGGAACATTTTAAGAATTTACAGATTTAGTCCTTAGGCCATATTCACCCTTTGTTCGTTTGACATCTAACTCTCTCACAGCATTTTTATTTTCTTTATAAATGCTTTAACAGGCACAGATCTAAGGAAATTCCTCAGTGAGTACATTTCTATCAAAAAGTCAATGAAAATTACTGTTACAACTATAAAATAAAACTCTAAATGGATAGTTTTCCATCTGTGGTCCAATGGAAATGAATGATTTGGAAAGGTTGACTGTCCCAGTACGCCTCTGGTTGGAGGTGTGATGCTAGCCATAGCTGTGGGGGCTGCGGGGGTTGATGGGGGAGAAGTCCTCCCTGCCGTTCTGTCCAATTAGCTGGTAGAGTCGGTGGCTCAGGTTCTGCACCTGACAGGTCCCAAGAACGCACCCCACCCTCATCAGATGGCCGTGGCCCCTTGAGCTTCCACTGTTGGCATGACGACGACCCCGTGACCCCCGCTGCCACACCTGTTCCACCGGCAGCGCATTACTGTTTCCACGAAGAAGCATGTCAGACAACTTTGATGATGGGTCTCTGTGCAGTGGGGCCCTCGCAGTGTGTTGTGTGTCTTCCTGTGGGGTTTGATTTCTGCTGGCAGCAGAAAGATCAGACACACCAGGTGGGGAGTTGGGGTAAGACGCTTTATTGATTCTGGGTTCACCTAACCTGAAAAAAGAGGAAATAATACAGAAGACGTTTTATATTTCACTGTACTAAAAATAGAGACAGTACCAACAAAAATAATTCACAATTGAGAATAATATTTTTGACTAAGCTTGCCATAGAATGCTTTCAAATCACATGTCCAGTATGCTGGTCAACTAGGTCTCTAAATTGTTGCTCTAAGACAACATTTATTTCAGACTTCCTCCTTCATTTAGTCAGATTTCCCAAAAACTTGCACCTCACATTCAAGCAGAAGTCTTTGTTGTCACCACTCTCTCCTTGGTTGTACATTGTGTTTTGCGCTGATGCCTGATTTCAGTTCTCCATAAGTGATGCCATTACTCTTCCTAACTTTCTGCTGTAGCATTTTTTGACTTATGTATGCACTGCACATTACCATAAACGTGAAAGACAGCTATGGTTCCCATCATGAGACTGTAAATTTGATCTTTTTCTCCAGGCAGTGAAACATAAAAATAGTGGAGGAAATATCAAAAGGACCTTGACTTGTTTCAGACTTGCCTCGCAGAGTAATCGCTTTGTGATTGTTGTGTTCTTTAAAACCCCTTTCAGTGCCTACACTTTTGATCCTGCAGAGCAGACCTGCTAAGTAATGATCTTTTTTTTTGTTTTTTTTTGTTTCCTTTGTAATTTCTTAGTTGAAATTTCCCTGAGTCTCAAATAAGGGCCAGCAACCCCTGACGTTTGCTCTCCTTGCTGCACCCAACCAGACTGGAGTGGTTCAAACCGACAGACCTGAGAAGCAGCTGACGCTACTGTTTGCTCTGTCATCAACACAGCTTAAAGAAAATATTATTTCGAGTTAATCAACGACAGCATGCAGCTGATGCATCTCAGGGGAGCACAGAGGGAGAGGACAGGGAAGTTACAGCCATGAATAGACGTTATAGACGTTGCAGAGAGGCTCCAACAATGTTCCCCACGTGTGTCTTTAAAGCGCTCATTTTTCCATCTCCATGCTGACTTGCAAAGTTTTTGTCTTCAGTCATCATAATGGCCCCTTTTTTCTTTTGCTTTAGACGTTCAAGAGTTCAAATGCATAAAAGTCATATGACCCTTTAGAGATTATGCAACATCCAGTATACATGAGGAAAAGTAGCAGGTCTCATTGTAATGACAAAGCCAAGTTGATTATCGTTACAAAAGTTATGTGCCTTTGAACCAAGATAGTGGAATTCATGTGTATTGGTAAAATACGCATACAATTCATTTCATTTTAAATATACAGCTCAATTTCACAGCAAGCATTTCAGGAGAGTTTACAAAAATGGAATTTCAACCCAATCACATACGCATTATAATCAGTCCTGGTTTTTAAAGTGCACTAAGCTCAGTTTATCATTAAAATTATTTTAAAATGTTTTCTGAGGAACCCCAGCAGATTGCATCAAGTCATTATAGCAGCATTCATTTCTCCTGGACGAACACGTAGCGACAGTAGACAGTGACTTGGGTTGTAGTAGTGTGTAGCGACAGTGAAAACATAAAATATGCGTGTATCTGGGAAAAACCCATTACTTAATCACCTTGCTTATTTTTTTATTTTGTGGGGGGGGCACTACAATTTTTTTTATTACAAATGAGTAAATGCTTGTTTATCCAATTATTTTTAACCAAATTATTTTTAACAAAATTTAAAAATGATTGCTAATGATTTTTTTTTTGTTTGCTGTGAAAAGTGGGCTAGAAAATGGTTATATGTTATCCAACAACTAATCCATCCATTTTCTTTACACCCTTGTCCCTTGGTGGGGTCAGGAGGGTTACTGGTGCTTATCTCCAGCTATTGTTCTGGGTGAGAAGTGGGGACAGGTTGCCAGTCTGTCACAGGGCAACACAGAGACAAACAACCATGCATACACACACTCACACCTAGGGGCAATTTGGAGAGGCCAAATAACCTGACATGTTTTTGGACTGTGGGAGGAAACCAGAGTACCCGGAGAAAACCCATGCATGCACAGAGAGAACATGCAAACTCCATGCAGAGAGACTGGGGCTGGGAATTGAACCCAGAACCTTCTTGCTGCAAGGCAACAGCTTGACCAACTGCGCCACTGTGCAGCCCCAACAACTAATCCTAACTGGTTTTCTGATCACTCCTCTGGCTGGACACCAGGCCCATCACTGCCAGCACTGTGTGTTTTACTGGTAAAAGCAGTTTTAAATTGTCTTAATGGGTGCTCAATGGATAATACACACCCAATTCCATTTCTTATTAATTGATTACATTGTTAAATTGCATATAAATGTAAAAAATACCCTCGCTTTACACAAACTATGGTATTATTTAAATGTATCAGAAATCTGTATATTTTCTTTCCACCCATCTGAAACACTCATCCACCCAGAGCAATTATGTGGTTAAGCAATCACTTGTCTGTGTATCATGGGAGTTCCATTTGTTCTTTGGAGTTATGTAAGTTAAAATTAAATAAAGTTGGTTCAAATTTGTTATGTGTACAGAGTTATGCATTAGTTGTAAAAGAATAAAGTTAGCCAAAAGAAATGAAAGGTAGTGATTTTACCACAAACAAATGAAAGAAAAATTAGTTTCTGAATGTTCACGACTTTTGAGTTTGTGGGAAACATTGTGTTCTCCTGGATAAGTGAAGCGCTATTAACGTCATGAGTTTGACATCATTACTTTTGATGAACACATCGTCTTGATCCTTTGATCTGTCTACGCACATCATAAGTTCTATTTATTCTTTTTTGTCTAGAAACATTATTTTGTTTGGGGCATAAAACAAACTGAGTTGTCCAGGTGTAAGAAACTTTCTTTGAATGATACAGAACTGGGGTGTTTAGGAGCACTGAAGCTGTTGAACAAAAGGCAAAACAAGCCACACACAAATGTAATAATGCAAGTGTTCATGATTTTAAATGTCCATTTAAGAACTTGCCACTTGGAAAAAAAGGAAGTGGGCATCAGGTGTCTCACCTAGATCTGCAGTGTAACATTACTGGTTAGAACCACAGCAGAAAGTCAATGTGAATGTTGTCAGATTTATACAGGTTTTGAATTACAGTTATTGTCACAATAGCAACCATTCACTACTGTGGGGATTGGATTTAGAACGTAAGACTTTTATGTCCTTCGTTTGTGTCACCAAGCACTTTTCCTGACTTCCTCATCCAGGACTAATCACTGTACAAATCTTCACTTTGTGAATTTAAAACATCAGATGACGACTTTGCTAACACCAGTTTTTCCACCTCAGGTGCATGTGGTGCTATACAAGTTTGGCATTCCAAACATGCGGTAATGTTATAACTCTTTGGTTTTCTAATATGTCCCACATGTAAACAGCACCATGGCAAATGATTAAAATAAAATAAAAACTAAATAAGTTTTAATTTCCTGCTTGACTCTCAGAGCAGCATTTTATTTGGGAAGCATTTATTTGAGACACATCAATCTCAGGAAAGTCAGAAAATGAAATGATTCAGCATATTGTAGTGGAAAAGACTCAAGCCAGTTGCCAATGATTTCTGCAAGTTTAGCACATTGACTTTCATGACACACGCTACATGTAGAAATAGAAACCAAATGAAGCAGATGGGATATATTTGAGACTCCACAGGGCTAAATGATGAAGTTCATGACAACTAGAAAATCACTGAATAAGTTTAGCTTGTTGTAAAGACATATCCTCTTCCCTGTTAAAAATAAAAACATCCACCACTCCACCACTTTGAATTATCAAAAATAATCTTACTTCCTCTCCTCTCTGTGTGCATTTTGCGACAAATTATGTGAACCGGTGAAGAGACGGAGATCAAAATGAGCTTCACCAAAATTTCTCCCATGGTCCAACACAGCAAGAGACTGTCCACAAAACGAGCACACATCAGCATGCTCACACACCTCCCTTCTTCAAGTCCTCGAAACTCTTTTTGCACAGGCAAAACTTTGAGTCTCCATCAGATTCCCGCTGTTTCACAATAAGGTCCTCCTTTTCTCTCTCTCTTTACCAGCTTCTTTGTTCTCTTTTGGCATTTTGGATAAGTGGCAGTGTGATGCAATATCAGCCTGTGTTGAATAACTGTCAAATATTTTTTTTCTCCTCTACACCCAGGGGTTTTGCTGCTAAGGTTAAACTAATTTACTTTGAATTGTCCTGCCTGACTTCCACATTATCTTGCTCTTTGTGGTTATATTGTTGTAGATTCCCTCATTGCTACTGCCAGGGTGAAACTTGGCCCCTCGGTATGTGAATGTATTCTTGCCCCAAATCCCACTAAATCACCCTCACCTCCATCTCAGCCTCCCGCTGCAGAGACGAATAACCTCGTTCTACTGGTGGACCCTTTTCCCACATAAATGAATGCCAAAGAGCACTAATGGACTTCGTTTTTCACCAACTGCTGCTCTAAACTACAATCATGAGTGTCTTACCTTTTCAAGGGGCCATTTTATGTATTTTCCAGGTAGAGAGTACCATTTTCAATCAGAAATCAAGTAACTTTGTCACCTAAATTTCTCATAAAAATGTTGTGCACACATGACCAGAAATTTGACTTCCTAATTTGATGACTTGAAATTGGGTCTCTGTCTCTTTAAGAAGCTGCTACTCTTTCCGACATTCTGCCTTGAGCATGTCATGACAACCATGCTTCTCATTATGTCATTAACAATCGCTCTTAGGAACGTTGGACTGAGAAGTTCGCATGATGAGCTCAGCAGACGCTCATCTCCACCAGGTGTTTGCTAATTGCTGCTGCCGCTAGTCTGATGGTGCTGAGGTCGAGTGAAGCAGGAAAGGGAAGCTCTGTGAGATAACAGCATGTTTACAGACTGCAGCTCCAAAGAGGAGCTTCGTACAAATAGGTGGTGTTTAGCAAGCATTTAGGCACCGCCTTAATGGCTGCCAGGGGAGACTGAAGCATTCATCAATCATGCATGAAAAAAATCAAAGCAACACTCTTTGGGTATATTTTTGACAAAGGAATAATATTAAAGCATGATGTAAAGGTCAAAAAAGACTATTTGACATAATACCTCATTTCATTTGACAAAATGAAAACAAGTGAATTTTTAAATATGTTATCATTTTATTATTATTTTATTGTTATTATTATTACTATTATTAAGCAACACCATTCATCTTATGTTGAATGTCCTGCTTCTTTTGCTGGTGTTAAAAGTACATAGTAATCTTGTTACATAAGATCTGTTCTTTTCCAAAGTCCAATTCCATTATAATTAGCTTTGTGTTGAACACAAAACAAGACTTCAGCAAACAAATAAAAAAAAAGCATGATTTGTGTGTATTTGCTGTTTTTGTGTGAGTGCCAAAACAGTAATCTGAATTGTTCTAAGAGCTTGTGATTGAAGAAAGCAGAGGGTTACCTGTGCCTGTGAACTCTCAGAACCCGGGACTGGATCTCCAGAGGCAGGAGGCTGAGCAGCAAGCACAGCCACACCAGAGGGAGGCCTCTCATGGCAGCAGAGAGGGGCGAACCTTCCTGTAGGAGGCAGATCTCAGTAGAGCCAGGTAGGATCAAAAATTTGATTTTTAAAAAAAAAAATTTTTTTTTATAAATAACAGCTGTAAGCAACAGCTAAGTCAAAGCAAAATTGTAGATTGTAAGTCCTATCTAACAGGCAAAGAGTTCCGGATTGGCTTTAACGAAGGCCAGCATCATCAGGCGTGTCTGCTGCGTCCTCTGAGCACTGACCTGTTTATCTGACGTGAGAAGTCAGTACTTGATTGGAGTGCTCTTTGGGAACAACTGGAGGGTTTCTCATTTATAAATCCACCCTGGAGAAGCAGGAGGAGGAGGAGGGAGGAGGGAAGCTTATTCTCTTTCCTCCTCAACAACCAAAACCTCAAATAACCTAATTAAACTCCCCTTAAAGCTCCAGTCTTCTCATGTGATAGTGGTTAGAGCAGAAAACCGTGTGTTGCATTGTGTGTAAATGTGTAAGCCTGAGTAACAGGACCCCTGAAGATTGCTTAGGGGATCTAAAGTTAGATTTTATGTCATAACTCTTTTGGCGGCATAATGCAACGGGAAGATAATAGTGTGATGGAAAAACTCGTCGGATGTGCTTTAACTAAACTATTCCATTTTAAAGTCAGGGCTACTGCTTATATATCCTTCATATTCTGACAACTAAATGCATGCAAGACCTTTTTTCAAAATCAAACAAAATGAAGAATAAAATAAAAAATATGGACAATGTAACTAAAGTGCTGCAGAAGGATAGAGTTAAAAATGAAAGTCTATTCGTAGAAAGAAAGGCTTAAAATCTTCTGAGGATTGTTGAAAACTGCCTTTTTTTATTGAGATATAACTCAATCTTAATTGTCTTAATTGTTATGAATACATATCTGGAATTAATTCTCTAATAAATAACATGTTGTACCACAAGTGTAAAAAAAAAGTAAGATGTTCGTACACCTTCTTGCCTTTTTACAATGTTTTTTTTTTTTCCGTAGAGGACAGACATTTTGACATTTATAAGGTCAGCAGCAAAAGTTGACATTTAATTTCTGTCCCCAGTGTGCTTCAGAGCAAATAAAATTGAATGAAGTTATTTCAAGCAAATCCATTTCTGAAACCTCTTCATTTAAAACATTTGCAATATTTTAGGAATATTTATATTACTGCTTTGTAACTTTCTCCTGCTGAGCAACGTAAGTCCAGCAGCACTGGGATTTAGTTTGGTAAGACCAGCTCTCAGCTGATGATGTTTTCAGATGATCTGTTTGTAACTCACATGCAACTAAGGAAAACATGCTCTTACACATTAGAACAGCAAAGAAGGTTTTAGCTCTGCATGAACTCATTGTGATGAACAAAGAGTTCAGCTCTGAGGCAACCTGTGATTTTTGTTTTATGAGCTCCAGACATGAAAGGTCTGAAGAGATTCAGAATTAGTAAAGAAGTAAAGAAAGTAAGGGATCTGTAGAGGTACTACGGTAGTCCAAGCATCCACTGCAGTGAAACTGTTTTCAGATTTTTTTTTTTTTTTTTTTTTTTACCAAGAAAGAACTTTTCTTTTCTGTGAAGGAGGACACAGATGAGGACATCAGAGTCTGAGTCTAATTAAAGGACTCTTCTGTGTTTTTGAGGTGGCTTCAGTTCTTAATTAAAGGACTGTGCGGTGAGAGCGCTCCTGTCTGTGACTCAGCAGTTTGCGGTATTAAAGTCTGAGCTCAGTTTGCAGCCTCGACTCAGTCCAGCATGTGCATTAACACATCTTCAACCTGCCTAGAGAACAAGCCTCGGAGTGTGTGTGACTGCAGGTGTGTGCGGTCACACAAACTCCAGGCAGCCCACATGTATCCTCTCTCCCTCTCCGAGTCTTTTGGAGATAAAACACCTTGCAACGATTCAGTTTTCATTACTTGTGTCTGCTCGACAACTCAGACTGAAATCACAGACTGTGCTTTAGATATCTCTGTTCGCTCCATTTTTAATTTAACCTTTTCACTGTTTTTGTCCTGATTTCCTTCTGATGCCTATAATACCAGCAACGTTTTACCCCTAAGATAGGATGAAAAAGAAACTTAATAAATTAAAGCCATGTGGATTTTGCTTAACCCCTGCATCACCACAGCAACTCTGAAAATAATATTTTAATAAATAGACAAAACTATGAACAACTCTGACCACTAGTTGCTGCTAAAGTGCCTCTGATGCGATGATTTTTGTGGACTATAAACCAGCCATAAGCCACCATGTAGGCTGTATTTACAGTTGATGTAATGTGTTGTGTGTTTAAAATCATCATGAATCTTTATGTCATTAATCAATATAATGTGTTACACTTAACCATTTGAGTTACAAGACCGATCGACTTGTGACCAATGGCTAAAAGAAATGCTCTCTATGTCACATCATATTTATATCTCAGAGAAACAGAAAGTCATGTCACTAAAAGTTAACAGAAATTCTGGTTGCTCTGATTGTTGGGGGTACTAATTGTTGTGCATCTGGAAACTTTGTGGAAAAAAAAAATAATTAAAAATGTGATTATTTTTTCTAACTTAAATTGATGGTAGGCCAGCTGCTAAACAAAAATATGACTGCTTGGTTTAATTTATCGGTTTCAGCGATGACTCGTTTTGGAGGTTACAGCTGCATGGTTTTGGTCGCCCCTTAGTGGTAATATAAGGAATTACAAGATGACCAGCTAAAAGATGTGCAAACTCTTGTCTTTTATTGTTAAAAGAGGAATCATGCTGCTCATGTTCACCTTTTTGCAATTTTTTTTAAACTTTCCACGTGTTTGAAAGTGTTGTGATTAAAAAATATATTGCTAGAAAATAAAACTGATGCATTTCTATTGGTAGGATGATCAACTGCAAGAGTTATATGTAAAAACAAACAAACAAAAAACACCATAATTACAACTAAAATTGTCATACTGTTAGAAATGGCTACATTACATTTTTAAAAAGGCTGCGGTAAATTAATTAAAAATACTAAAATTATAATATCCCTGGTAGTAGCTTACAACACTGATGTAATAACATTGTAAAGGGTCGTTTGGAATGAAGTATTAGCTAATACACTTAGTGACCTCTTTAATAGGTATACTTTGTTGTTACTCGTTTTCCCTTTATGACTGATTTACATCTTCATGGTACAAATTCAACAAGGTGCAACAATTATTGAGATTTTTTTTTCCATATTGCACGACAGAATCAAGAAATTGCAGCAGACTTGTCAGCTGCACATTCATAATGTGAAATTTGCATTTCACCGTTCTCCAAATCTACTGGGTTAAGATCTGGTGACTGAGAACCTCAACGGAGTACAGAGAACTTAAGCTTTTCTTTCTTTGATATGATGACAATAATTTGTTTCCAGAAATCACATTTCTTTTATTTTGCATTCTTACAAAGTATTTTTTTTCATAAACTCAATTCATGCAAGGAATCAACATCTTACCTGTGGTAAACAGTTACAGTCTATGAATAGCGATTTACCACAGATAAGATATACAACATAAATGTATTTAACTTTCAGTTATGCTTATAAAGTTTATTTTGCAAGATAACTAAGAAACAACATATTTTTTCAAAATCCTTATTTTTTTAGTGGCACAGACGGGTTAAAAATATGCATGGTGGTCATAAATAATTTCTTTAAGCTCTATCACAAAAGAGAGAAAAAAAATTGTTGAAAAAGTTGGTAAGGGCTTGAAAGATTCCCCCCACTGTGGGGCAATAAAGGAATTTCTATTTTATTTTATGGGATCTTGGTAATGAATCAGGGTTGGATACTGAAATGTCTCAATAAACCTAGGATAAAGTGGTTTGTGCACAGTTACATAAAAGATGGATGGCACCACTTTGCATTGTTTTTATGCTAAAATCCAAAATCTGAAATTAAAGAAACAAAAAGGGAGCAGAAAAAAAAAATCAGGTATCCTCCAGTTTACAACACCAAACTGTTATAAGTCCAGAATTTCACATAAGAATTTCTTTTAATAAAAAGCATTCAGTCGCTCATCATGTCACAATCTTTTCTCACAAATCTTTATACAAAGATTGAGCAAAATCTTAATCTGCAGAGATGAACGTTTATCCACACCTCACTCTTGTGCGGACCTCAAGAATCCTAGTGCAGCAACATCTCCATTTGGCTGGCTAAGATTAACTCTTGAAATAACATTTAAGTTGAATCTTACATGAAAGAAGGTATGGATGACGACAATAAAAAAATGAACAGTTATGCTAAAAAACAACATGCAATATAGATTTAATGATAAAAAAAAATACAATAACTGAATAACTGAGCTCCCAACTGGAAGCATAACTCTCATATCATCTTGGCATTTTACATCTTCCAGACTTGTCTTAAAAAAAAAAAAAAATCTAAGCTATGACATATTGGAGTTCTACAAAGAAGAGTCTGATATTACAGACTGAAACCAATAAATAAGCAACAGTAGGGAAAATTCGAGCGTTTCATCCGTGCCGCTCCAGAGCGGTAATAAGATCCTGCAAAGGCTTCATGTCTTCAGGCTCCAGGAGTGAGTGCTGCTGGCAGAAAAGAGTCAGGTGGGAGAAAAGAGTGTTGAGGTGTGGGTGCAGGTCCAGAGCGAGGACCTCGCTGTAGTGAGACCAGTAAATGTGAGCCAGGGTCCTTAAAAGCAGCAGGAAGACCTTCTGGACCAGGAAGATGAATCCCGTCGGAAACGTTGCACCTGAAGTGAAAAAAAAGAAGCAACGATTTTTAAGTTCCAGCTGGATGAAGACGTGTGGCAGAGCAACATAAAGATATCAGTGCGAGCTACCTGCTTTAGTGGGGAACACGTCTTCGTCAGTCAGAAGCTCTTGAATGTACGACATGGCGTAGTCAAAGTAAAGTGGAGCAGAGCATTTCAGTTTCCTGCCGTGGTCATCGGTCCAAAAGTAGACCCTGGAAAAGGGAACAAAGACCGTCATGAGGAAGTGACATATTGTGTCAGATGGCTCCTTCTTCCCATTGAAATGATGGTAAGCTACACAATATATTGAATCACAGCATCTAAATACTCCATTCAGTTCAGACGACCCCTGTCTGAACTGAAGACCTCTAAATCCAGGCATTATTGGTTTGTTCCCTAGATCACGTTTCAAGTGTTGTTTTTGGACAATTAGACAATTTAATGTTAAATTGATTAAAACACTGGGGGTTGGGTTTGTTGTGATTAAAGTTCATGCTGTAAGAGCTTACAGAACTTTTTGCTGGATACCTTTTTGTAAACCATTTTCTTCTGGTCATTTTATACGCACATGGCTCATTATTCTGTCCCCAGAGAATATTCACAACCACTACAAACAACATGTTGGAGCCGCTAGGCGCTAACATCTTTAACTCTCTGGTATTTAAATAAATCCTGTTCAATCGTAATGCGAACAAGGTAGAATGCTTCACACTTTCTGATTCTTCGAAAGAATCAAACATTCACTTTAAGCAAAAATAGACGTACTATAAAGGGAAGGATATTCCCTTCATCTGTATTGCTACAGTTTAAGATGCATTTCAAAATGTTTTTTTTTTCTTCCTTAATTTGTTACCGTACTTCATAGCTAATTATTTCTACTCTTGTGTTATTTTGCCCTTAAAACCTCTAGAATTGGAACATAAACATCTTTGTATGCGCCTTATCATGCAATTTTCACCTTTAGCCGCCCGACATGGCTGCAGTGTAATGCTCAGCAACTTACATGTTGCCTGGTCCACAGGCGGTTGGGCAGGTGCTGGGAGTGCAGAACTCTGACAGAGCGCTGGAGAACAGGTTTATGTGCTTGAAAAAAGCCACAGCTGAAACACAACAGACATGAATACCAGTAGCCATGTTTTTCCTGGTTTCTATTGTGGAACACAAACATCAGCTGATACTCACTGTTGCTGGCCAGCCACTCTGCTTTGTCCATGCCAGGCGGCAATGATATGAGGGCAAACATATTGGCGTCTGTGATCCTCTGGCAAGCGTTTTGCCGCTGCAGATACGGGCACTCCTCCTGGTTATTGTTGTTGATTCCGCTTGGGAAGACAGCATAAAGTTAATGAAGCGAAGGAACAAAATTAGAAAGGCTGCAGAATGGGGAAATACAGCCCCGTAAAACAACCAATGGGCTTGGTGGATTAATTATTCCTACTGCAGTTTGGAGATAATGCACTCGTCCGTCTTGAGCCTTTTGTTGCTGGCTCAGACATCAGGAAAAACATAAAAAATACTGCAAAAACAGCAATACTTCAGCAGTTAATGCAATAAAGCCAATCAAATCAGGGCTGCGGTAATTACTGCTAATGAGGCCGACTGCTGCAGTGGTCAAGGCTGCAGAGAAAACAAGTGGACGGGGTAAAGCTGTGAGGCTTTGCACCATGCACCACTTCCCAGTTACATGTGTCGAGGATGATATTGGGACATGTTTGGAGTGACTGCAGGGAATGCTTTATGCAAATGCCAACGTATTCTGGAAAGTCAAACATGGCAACGTGATTTGACTATTTAAAACAGGGTGATAGGTTTGAGTGCTCTGTTGAAAGTCAACACTTTTCCCTGAAACATTAGTGGGGAATTTAAGTATTTTAAATAATTTTTATTTTATTTTATTTTTTGACCAATAATAATCCAAAAAGTGTGTCTCAAACTCAGATTGGATGCAGAGCATCTGTAAATTACGATCTGAAGTCATGTCACAGATTAAATGGACTTAAGGCTGAACTTTGACTGAAGCATTCTAATATAAGGACAGGTTTTTGGAATGCATGATTTGTGATTATCTTGCAACCGATTTCCTCACCAGAGGTCTCTTTGCAGTTGCATTACACTCATTTTCAGACGATAAATGAGCAGCGAGATCTCAAAAACAGATGTTTTTCTCAATTTTCCAGGTTTTAGGTATTTTACGTTCATATTGACATAACATTAAAATTCACCACTAAATTGTCAGAGATATTTCTGCAGTGGGCAGGGCTGAAATAAATGTATTTGCCAATTGAAAACAAGTAACAAAGGAAGGGTAGTAAAAAAGGAGATGGGGCATAAGAAAAGAAAGAAATCACAATAGGGAGAGAAGAAACACAAGGTTAGGGAGGAATGAAACAAAGGACAAAAATAAGGATGCAATGAGTGAAATAACAGGAGGACGCACGCAAGGAAGACGGGAAAGAATCACAGGAAAAACCCACAAAAGGATAATAAGGGAAGTAGGATGAAAGAAAATGAGACAGACACATTAAGAATGAAAGGAGGCCCACCACAACAAGACCTACTAAAGGCAACAAGATGGGTAGGAAGAACAATAGGCAGGAAGGATGGAGTATAGTAGGAAGAAAAAAAATATAGAAAAGGAGAGAAACAGAAACTATCTACCAGTAACATTCCTAGACTATATAGGAGCCCTGAATTATGTTTAATTAAGTGACTCCTGTTAGCAATTTATTTAAGTTCAATTTATTTAAAGGTACCAAAGTAATGGTGGCTAAATAAATACAATACCACATTTTCTGATTTTAATTGTAAAAAACAAAAGTGTTTTTAGTCTTTCCTCCACTTCACAATAATACATTGTGTTGGTCTCTTCCATCAAATCCTTCAAAAATATATTGAAGATCTGTGGTTGTAAAGTGACAAAACGTGGGAAAAGTTCAGCTTAAAAACTTTAGTATTGCTAAAGTACAGCGAACAACGCAGCTGCCATGCAGTTTTCAGACGTCCACACACGCAGCAGCTGAAGGTTTACACAGAGTGACCTTGCCTATTCTGATAAGGAAAACACTGTTCTCTGGATGAGGTTTCACTCCTCCCTCCCTCCGGTCCGGTGTAAATATGTGTGAGAGAGGTGGCTGGGGAGAGACAATTTGTTTAATGGTTTGAACAGGAGGTCTTTGTCTAAAAAGATACAAGCACTGGGGTGAACAGCGACAGCGAAGAACGTAAACATCTGCTATGCGCGGCACAGTAGCACAAATCCAAGCCAAACTCCTCTAATGTCCACAGGAACTTCTTATACTAACATCCTGCTCTTCTGCAGCTTCACGGCATTAACTCAATTACCAGCCTCCTGGCAGCGCACACAAGCACAATGAACCCGGAGGCCATTCGTAGCGTTATGTTTGTGTGTAAACAGACTTGCTTTTGGCCATCTGGTCACCTTTCCATCAGCCGTGGGGCTGAAGTTAATGTTCTTCAGCATAGGTGGTAAGCTGGAAAATTAGGAGCAATCATCTTCTCACCAACATGTGTTACTGGTGTAAGAGAAACCCACAATCACTGATGGCATCACACAAATATGTAACACACAAACACGCGCACACACACACAGACATTTAGTTTTTGTCTGGAGGGCATTCCTCTGAACCATGTGTAGTCGGGTTTCTGTAATAGTTTCAGTTTGTTCAACATTTGGATTCATTAGAGAAGTTCAAGACAACAGCAGAAAGAAAGAGAGAAAGAGAGAGAACGCAAGAAATGACATTTATTTAAATGCAAACCAAGAAGAACGTAAGAGGAAATGCAACTTACAGTTTCTCATTGTGGATGTCAGACGGCTGAGGAGTCTTGGTGTCCACCTTTGTAGCCGAGGGGTAACTGTGGCAGCCCCCCATGGCGTAAAGCTAAGAGCAGAGCTGTTTGCTGAGCCAGCCCCACTTTTCCATCCCAAACACACTAACCCACACACTTCTGCACACTGTGGGCAGGATACGTAAAGTCCAGCTCCAACACAAACATACCTCAGTAGCTTTGCAAACAGGCTCACACAGCTCTCACACACACTCCAAATAAATCCCTTCTTCAAGATGTTTCCCAAATTACAGTTGGAGTTCAGGCAAAATGACGCTTTCCAGCTGTCTCTTTCAGTTTTTTTTTTTTTTTTTTGCTCCACTTCTCCAGTGTCAGTGTGTTTATGTCTCCTTTGTCTGGAGTCCCACACCCAGCAGGCTCCTCCTTCTCTCCTCTCTCCGTTCGAAGCAGACAGGCAGGTTTCTCTACAACCCATAAAAGTACAAAACAACTCCGCCTTCCTCCCCTTCCTTCCCTCCCACTCGCTTCACATGAGCGGACGCTTCACAGATGGAACAGCCAGGTACAGATGACAAAACTAATGGTGCAAAAGTTTTGCCAAAAAAAAAAAAAAAAATCTTTGGAAAACTGCGGGAGAGAAGGAGAGGGTAAAGAAGCAGCGGGGGAAGCTGGATGTGGGATTGGTATATTTGCGAGAGTTATGTAGGAATGCGATGACAAGCAGTGGAATGGAGACACACACCCGCGAATGATATCTAGATAAGATTACAAGATGAAAATAGCTAATACGAGACGTGCAGGAGCACAGGAAAGGGGTCTGAAGCACAGCTTGAAATAAATGAGAGGCAGCTTTATGATGGAGATGATATGAGGGTGTAGCACAAATGTGGATGAGACGCAACCTAATCCACCTGAACCTGATGTAAACAAGAACATGGGAGTCCTGTTCTCCACATCCTGGCTTTATTTGTTTTGTGAATGAGACAACAGGCCCCGAGTGGTGAGCGAGACAAACAGACGCTCAAGTTTCTTCCTTTTTTTTTTGACATGTTTATTAGGTTCATATCTGAATGTACAGGCTAAATAGACGACAGGTAACAGACACGATACTCCCAAAGGAAAAGAAAAGAAAAGAAAAACCCCACCAGCATCAGTTCACTCTACAAAAAAAAGGCATTTAAACAACACGGCTGTCTTTGCCAACACTTTCCCCAACATATACACGCACACACACGCACACACACAGATTCAAAAATAAGCTAGAGTGCGAGAAAAACTCTAAAATGGCCTCCAACTATATAATGACTTGCAAAAGTGTTTATATTTCTTGAACTTTTATCATGCTGTAAAAATCCTCCTTTATTATCTTTTCCAACTTGTAAACTGCGAAACGTCAACTATTAGTTGCAAACTCAACAAATGCTGCCTTAAAGAAAGCCACTGTTAAAAGTCTTGCTTCTTGTTTGCTACATGCCATACAGGGCACACAGCAAACATGAGGAGCAAAGTCCTCTGGTCAGAAGAGGAAAAAAAGCTGAACTCATAGGCCAATATGCAAAACCGTGTGATAGAAAACTGTCACTGAACACAACATCACCATCTTAAACTATGGTGGTGGCAGTGTCATGCTGTGCGGATGTTTGCCTTTCTTGGGAACAGAAAAGTTGGTCAAAGGAAATAAGAAGATGGATGAATGTAAATACACTTTTTGGGGGAGATGAAGACTTGAAACGGAGGCAGATGTTTGTCTTCCAACAGGATAACAACTCAAGACATAAAGCAAAAGATCTTTATGTTTAGACCTAAATAAAACTGAGAAACAGTGGCTAGACTTGAAATTTGTTGAGGGGGAAAATGGGCAAGAAATTCAGTCAATAGATTTGCAAAGCTAGAAGAGACATACCCAAAAAAAAAACCAAAAGCTGTAAAGGAAGTGAAAAGTAGTTCTGCAAAGTAAAGATTCAGATGCGCTGAATGTAAATGAACTCCACAATTTTCAGATTTTTCTTAGCTAAAAGAACAGAAAGCATAATTTTCCTTCTGCTTTACATGTATTCAACAAATTCTTCTGTCATGAAATCCAAGTAAAATACACTGTTTGTAAAACGTGCTAATGAAAAAGATCAGTGGGTATGAATACTTTGCAAGGCACTGTTTATACTAGATCATGGATTTAAAGATTTAGATTTTTTTTTAAATTAAATTTTAGGACATGAACCCACGGAGGTAAATGAGGCTAATGTGCAAATTTAATGGCACTCAAAATCGAACCATATCCTACCACATTGCAACATACCCGTTATACTCCAACACATACAAACACTTTGGGTCCGACGTGGTTTTTAACTTTGATTAAAGAAGGTTTGGAATATTCCGACCCTGTACACAGCCATTTGCTTTTAACCCTGACATGACGCAAACCTCAATTTCTGAGAACTTCAAACAGCCCAAACGTCCTGGACAGATGAAAGTGAAAAGTTGTAATTGAAGACGATTCTTCAAATACTTTCTTTTTGACTCAAGTCTATACGCTTCTTCTGCTCTTAACGATACCGTATGACTTTGGCGGGAGGGAGAGGGGAACGGAGAGGGAGGATCAAAAAGAGGCTGCGTTTGATAAATCTAGATGAGTAAGACCACTGCAAGAAAGCAGATATGAGGCTCAGCTATGCCCCTGGAGGGAAGACGGACTTTGGCAGAGAGCAATGAAGGAAAAAACAAAACAAACAAAAAAAAACCTACAGTATCTACATGGTTTGCTTTTTCAAGTCCAACTCCCCCTGCCTCTTTGAGCAGGGAATAACAAGGTGGCACCTCAAGTACAACTCAGGCAAGTCCCTTAAAAAAGCGTTTTTTGTTGTCGTTTTTGTTTTCAAAAAATAAATATAGCAATCACTCAGGAGACATGTATGCAATTAAAGTCAACTCCTACCCTGAGAAAGAGGAAAAACAAAACAAAAACAAAAAAACCTGAATGGATTATTCTGGTTTATAACGACTCAGGTCAAGTTTTTTTAAATTAATTTTATAAAGGTTTTATCAAGCATTGATAAAACAGTTCATCTTAAAAGAACTGTTTTTGAGATAAAAGATTTAGACTAAGACACCCCTAGTTCTCTTGATCGAGGAATCATTTTATGTATGCGATTGACCAAAAACATGTTACGCTCGTAAGGCTTTCAAGAAACTTAAACCTCTACTCCCTGTCACTTTGCTTCATTATCAATTCAAATTCCTATTTTGAACAGACGCATTGTAATTTCGTCCTTTTATACTACAACTGTGTATCAGAAATTACTACTCATGTATTTAAGCCATGGCAAATAAGTTTACTTTTTGTTGTAAGTTTTTGGAAGAAATATTTGAATAAGTGTGAGAAAAATATGTTCAAATCTCATCAATTTATGAAAACTTACTCAACTCCGTTGTATTTTTTTTTTTTAACTTTTTTTTGGTTACTCATTGGCCACCAATGATTACTGATTACGATGCATGATGAAAGAAAAACAAAAATAAAAATTATTTTGAACTATAAAATCTTTTTCCTTGCTGTAGACTATTTTAAGTTGCGAGTTGTTAAAAGGGATTCAAGACATCCAGCGATGGGAATGAAGCCAAGGCAATATTTCATTACAAAATGTCTAACTGGCAAAGATCAAAACCTTATTTTTAGTAAAGTAGCCAAAAAAAAAAAAAAAAATTAACTAGGGAAAGTCAGTTCAAATAACACTTTTTGTTGTTTTCGAGTTCCGAATATCTCATTTTCCACTCTATATAAATCTTTCAAGTGAAAAGTTAAAGCAAATGTTTCACTCTGAGAAATGATAATGAAAAAAAAAACAAAACAAAAAACAAACTTGAGTTGTAAGTAACCAGAATCATCTTTTATGTAAGATTTTTGCGGAAGACATCCTGCAGACTGCCGACATGCATTCACATCATGCTCAGTCCTATGCTTCTACATAGGAAGCAAGTAGCAAACAAACAGGAACTGATGCTGGCCCGTCAACAAAAAACAGACGTCATTATTGCCTTTCAACAGAACACACACACATAAATACACTCGCGCACACTGCAACCTGCAAAACAACCTCATTTCCATACACCGGATTTATTCCAAAAATAGATATAATAATGTTTATATATAATGTTTACATTTATGTTACGTTTACATAATACCAAGTATAGCCACAACCTAATACAGGTTCAAAATTCACAATATTACATTGAAACACCTCTGAAGGGTGGCATGAACAGGTATGTGCACATCATCCCCATGTGTTCTTTTTTTGTTTTTCTTTTTTTTTTTTTTTTTTTTTTTTTTTTGTTTTTGGGGTTGTGTTTTTTTTTACTTGGGTTTTTGAACTTTTTTTTAATGGG